CGTTTCAGTTAGGAAATGGTCAACAGTGACACTGAATAAGGATACTGATGCTTAGGGGGAATTTCAAATGAAACCACTATTTCAGGGCTCCATTGGATATGATGCTTAGCTTTCTAGGCCAGCTCACTCATACTATCATCATTTAACGTCAGTATGGATGGATTACAGCATTAAACTACTTTAGTTTATCATGAATCAGTAGAGAGGTGTTACACAGACACAAAAAACACAATGCAGCCAGGTGTGGTGGCACAAGCCTACTATTCCAGAATAGTATAAGACTGAGGTAGGAGGATCATTGTGAGTTCAAGGCCAGGCTGAACTACATAGCTAGATTCTGTTTCAAAAAACCAGAAACAGGGGGCTGGGGATTTAGCTTATGGCATAAGCACCTGCCTTGCAAGCAGGCGGTCATGAGTTCGATCCCCAGTACCAATAAAAAGTTAAAAAAAGGGGCTGGAGGTTTAGCTCAGCGGCATAAGCGCCTGCCTTGCAAGCAGGCAGTCGTAAGTTCAATCCCTGGTACCGATAAAAACGAAAAAGATAAAAAAAAAAAAAAAAAAAAGTTAAAAAAAAAAACCAGAAACAAGGCCTGCCTGGCTAGTTTGAGGTCATCAGTTCAATTCCCAGTACCAAAAGAAAAAAAAAAAAAAAACAATCTCAGCTCTTCTATTTACAGCTTGGTCTGTGCCTCAATTTCCTCATTCATAAAAGGTAAAAAGAATCACTTCAAACAACTCTTATGAGAATTAAATAATATGTGGGCTGGGGAATTAACTCAGCGGCATAAGCGCCTGCCTGGCAAGCACAAGGTCAGTAGTTCAATCTTCAGTAACAAAAAAAATAAAATAAAATAAACATGTGACTTAAACAATAGCGAGTACAAATCAGTTGCTCATAAGTTAAATGACAGCTACTAGTACAACAAGGTTTCTATGAGAAAATACTTTCTACACTCTTAAAAAAGAAATTCATTTGAAATAATCTTTCATTAATTTGGGATTGTTTTTACTTATAAACTTAATCTTCGAGATGTTTTCCCCTGAAAACTTTATTTCAAAACAAAACAGAAGTACTTCAGAGGCTGGGGATATTGAGACCCTGGCTCAATGCCCAGCGCCAAAACATCTAAAAAATCTTTTTAAGCCGAACATGGTAGCACGCATTTGTAATCCCTGTACTCAGGAAGCAGAGGCAGGAGGATCAATGCAAGCTGAGGCCAACCTGGGCTACACAGTATGTTTAAGACCAGCCTAAACTATATAGTAAGCCCCTCTTCCCAAAATAAATAAATAAATAATAAAACATAAAATTAAAAACCCCAAGGGATGGAATTCATTACCTCACACTTGCCAGGCAGGTGCTCATGCTGCTGAGCTATATCTCTAGCCGTTTTTAAATTTATTGAAACAAATATTGTCCACATAGAAGATAAACTTTTTTTTTTGGTGCCAGGGATCAACTCATGACTTCATGTTTGCCAAGCAGGCACTTATGCCTGCTGAGCTAAACACCCGGCCTGAAGATAAACATTTTAAAGAAAAGCTATTTTGAGTTTTTGGCTAAGTTCCTAGCACACTCACTATACACTCATACTATGATCAGAAAGAAACATATTAGGAATCCAAATAACGTGTGGTAAAAAAAAATCCCAGACTTTTAAGTTAGAAAAGTAAGAAACAAACATAAATCTATTTAAAGTGTTCAGTCACTTTGTAGTGCATATTCAAATATAAGGACAAGTTTTGTCATCACTTTTACTGTTCTGTATAAGACATCTGATAGAGAAGGGGACAGGTTTATAGGTTCCTGGTGACCACCTATCTCTCTTCCAAAAGTGCACAAAGTTATTTATAGCACCTAAAGCAGCTCCCCAAAGGGCACATACATGTTCATTCAGCTCCTATAAATGAAAGGAGCATAAGTAAATGGAGATTTATGTAATAGCTTCTACCCCTGAACTTCCCAAATACCTAACAAGTACCATTTTAGAAATATTCTGGAGCAGAAATTTCTCTGTAATTCCTACATAAGGAAAAATGCTAGTTTCCCATTCCTTATTTCTCAACTGTTAAAGCAACAGAACTATCTTAACATTTGACTGAGCTTTTAAAGACTACTGCTTCAAACCCATGAAAAACTGTTCACCACGGGTTTTCCCATGGAGTGATAAAAATGATGCATCTTGGGATCAAGCAAAGATATACAGTAGGATGTTAGATCTGACCTCAGTGACAACTGAATGTCATTACCATCTGTCACTTTCTGAATTATAGGAAACAAGGTGACAGGCTAATTCTCTATGGTAAGTATCCATATTACATCATCACAGCTAGGATTCATTTGCACCTTCAGAAGAAACTGCCACAAAGGGAAACAAAAACATTCAATTGACACATGAATTATGAAAAAGCTCTTTAAACTGTTACAAAAATATGAATACGAAATGTAGGATGTTTAGATACTTAAAAGACATTTCCAGATATGGCATTATGGATGTAACTGAAATCAAAGAGGCCATTTGCATAGTTTGAAGAATGCAACGTGGTACAATTAAGAAGTGTGTGCAGCCCTGTACAGATGGCCTGATCCTAACACAAGATGTTAACAAAGCAGGTTTGTGGGGGAGGAGGGAGCCCGCATTTTCTATGCTATAATTTAACCAACCCTATCCTTCAAAAATATTTTTAAAGAGACCATTGTTAACATCTAAAAATCAGTAACTTCCAATAAACACAGATGATGAATCTACTTAACTATTTTCAAGCATGTTTCAGAAGTCATTCTATACAGTACTTTGATAAGTAATATTTGGAACATGTAACAAGCAGATTTTAGTTTCTTGTCTGAGAAATATTCTGGAAAAAACCAGTAACGGAAATAACTAGATAGCATCAGTTTCAATTACCTATAAAACACTTTTTACTTAAAACATAAAAATTGGGCCGAGGATTTAGCTCAGTGGCATAAGCGCCTGCCTAGCAAGCAGGAGGTCATGAGTTCCCCGGTACCAAAAAATAAAATATAAAAAAAAAATGTGCTGCACAAACTGGGCACATGCCTCTAATCCTAAATATTTAAAGAGCCTGCAGGAAGACTGCAAGTTGCAGGCAGGCCTGGACAACTTAGACCATGTCTCAAAATAAAAAGGGATGGGGATGTAGCTCAGTGATAGCTTCCATTCCCTCAGAACTCTGTCTCACATTCATATTCTCTCTCACAATCCATTTCTCTCTGTCTCTCTCTCTCTCTCTTTCTCTCTCTCTCACACACACACACAAACTGCTCAAGGGCTGGGGATGCAGTTCTGTGGTATAAGGCTACAATAGCAAGAGATTCTGAGTTCAATTCCCAGCACACAAAAAAGAAAAAGAAAGGAAAAACGGCTGTACAAATACTTATCATTACTGGTCAATGAAGAAAAAGTAATTTGGGGGCCAGGGACTTAGCTCAGTGGCACAAGCACCTGCCTGGCAAGCGTGAGGTTGAGTTTGATCCCCGGTATCAAAAAAAACGTAATTTTAATTTGTAAATTATCATATTGAAGGCAAAAGCTAACTGAAAATAATGAACTACCACCAAAAAACATACGGGCCAAACACTTCAAAAAACTCAAGATGGCTTATCAAAATTATAGCTATTTCTGAAAGATTTCATTTAGGGATAAAATGCCACATCGTTATTATTATTATTAATCCCAGCTCTTTTAGACAAAGGACCTAAAATTTTGTAAAAAGCATTATTTCACTTAAAGTAAAATTTTCTGTCTTTCACGATTGTCCCAAAATACAATCCCGGAAACAAAGACTAGCTACTCTTTGCAACTATTTTCCAAATCCTGAACTGGAAACTTCATAAAAACAAAGATAACTAGAACACTAATGTCTAAAGTGGGGACGGGGGTTGCGCTCACTTTTGTGGAGAAAATAAAGCAGAAATCTGATGAGATCATAAAGCCACGAAGCTTCCTGTTGGTGGCTGAGGATGAAGTCATTAGCAACCCAGGATTCCCGAGTCCTTGTAATCAGAAGCTGCACCTACCAGATTCAGTATTGTTCCCGAGAGGTGGCTTTAAAACAGCCGGCTCCCAAATCCTCCACACTAGACCACGCCTTCCAGTTATTCAAGTAGACCGTTTCAAAGTGTGGCACTACCACCCATTTCCCGCGAGCTTAAATATCAAGCAGGAGTCGAAGCTTTAGACTGATTCCTTCGGTCAGGCTGCAGGGAAGATGAATTCCTGAACCCTGCGCTACATAATGAAGCCGAGATATTCTTCACCGACCACCAGCCCCCTATTTCTCTCCAACTCTCAGTCACCCCCAAGGAACAGAAGGCAAACAGAGAAATTCCTTACTTCCTGCTGTTGTTAAAAGGGGAGGGAACCCAAAAGCAACTTTGAACTCGTGGAAGAGAAATCGCTTCATATTGGCCACCACTGCAAACATATGTCACTCAGCCTCAGCTCGGCGTTCGAGCTTCGCCCGGTCCCCTCCCCGGCCCCGCACCCCGGGGTTCTCCTATAGCCCAGCTCTCCCGGGTCCCCTAGTGTCAGAAACGTGGCCCCGCGCCCCTTCCTGTCCTACTCCTCCAAGCCTCCAAGACCACATTGTGGGCCACCCAGGTCCCAATACAATGGAATGTCACTGCCCCAAACTCTCCAGCGCCCTCCTAACCGCCAACCCCGTGCCAGTCCTAGGTCTCCCCAATACCGAGTTCAGCTTTCAGCTCAAACTTCACCATGTGAGTCCAGCACCGGAGGTGACCGAACCGCACGACTCCCGCCCAGTCGTCCCTCCAGCTTCGATCCAGCACTAGCACCAGGCGCCCCCATCCAGTCGGGACCACCCCTTCAGGAGTCGCCAGCCGCCACCCCTGAGAGGACGAGCGAGGGCTCCCCGTCCGGCCCGTACCCCCGACCTGCGCTGCACCCGCGCGGAGGCCCCAAATGCATCCCCGGCCTTTCCCAGTACACTACGACCCCGTCGCCCCCTCTCTACCTGGCCTTAAGACTGGGGCTGCTGCAGCGGGGGCTGGAGGCGGCGGCCGGGGCTCGGGCTTCGTAGGCCCAGGCGGGGGCCGGGGACTGCACGGCGGAGCTGGAGGCTGCGGCGGGGGGCGCGGGCGGCGGGTCTGCGAAGTCGGAGGTCGCGTAGTTCCTGTCCATCGCGGGGGCGCGGGGCGCAGGGCGCAGGGCGCGGGGCTGGCGGGCTGCAGCGGGGGCTCCGCTAGGGCCGGGTGTGAGGGGGGCGGGAAGGGAGGGGAGGAGGGGCCGGGGAGGAAAAGGAGGCGGCGGCGGCTGAGGGAGCTGCCCCCTCACATGGCCCTGAGGGGAGGTGGGCGGAGGGCGTGCGGGCGACTTGGTGCCGCAGGCGCCCGGGCTGCGGCGGCCGACCAGGCCCCCAGCTTGGATGTCAGGGAAGTGGCGGCATCCACGGCCGAGGCTCGCGGCGGCGGCGGTGGCGGTGGCGGTGGCGGTGGCGGTGGCGGCGGCGGCCGCTTGGCCCCATGTTGCTGGATTTCCCAGGATGCACCTCCGCCCCCGCCCCGCGGCCTCGCCCCGCCTCCCCTCGGCGCCCCGCGCTCCCGGCTCGCGGGCCGGGCCGGGCTGGGCGGGCTGCTAGGCTTCCTCAGCCGCCGGCCGCCTCAGAGGCCAGGGGAGCTGCGGCGGCGGAGGCGAGGCCTGCGGGATTTGCGGGCTGGGAAGCCGGGACCGGCGCCTGCCACGCTGTTCCCGCGGCCTGGCGGGGATGTCTTGCAAGTCCCCGCGGGAGCTGTGCGTCCGCGCTCGCCGCGCTGGGAAGGGGCCGCGCTGTGCGGTCGCCGCGCTGGGGGAAGGGGCGTCGAGCGGAAACCTTCGAGGAGTGCTGCAGAGGGGGAGCTTGTCAACGCTCTGCTTGGGTTTCAGGACTTGACCCTTCAGGTTATTTTTGAGGGACTCAGTTCCCAAATCGGGATTTCTTTCATTGCTCTCCCAGACCAAAAAACAGCTGAACGGACTGTTTTACTGTTCCGTTTACTCCCTTCCTGCTCCGAGCTTGCTTGGCTAAAGGACCCTTTTCCTGCTGTTAGGGGAGATTTATATTCAAAGAGATTCAAATTCAAACGTATTATTTTTCCCGTCCTCGCTGAAAGGGCCTTTCCCAGGGGCTCTTATTAACTGTCCCCACCCCCACCGTGGGGATTTTTCTCACTCTGGATTTTAGAATCTTTTATCCCAAGATAAATACTGCTTCTTCTTTGATTAATCCAACTACCATCTGGATGACTTTAATTACAATAAATTTAAACTTGCTAAGCATTCTGTTGCGGTTTTTTGCTGGAGATTTGAAACCTCAGCAGGACTCCACCCTGACATGTCCTATCTGACTTCCAAGATGTTTGGTATGGGGTGATTTAATGACTGAGGCTCTTCTGTTGTGTTTTTTCCTCCGGAGTAGTGAAATTAAGGGATCATACAAATTGTTTGGCCCTTAAGCCATAAATTGAAAGTTAAAATAACAGCAAAAGTTTGTATTTAATGATCACCTCCCTTTAAAAATCAATATTGGTTTAACACCTATTATGTGCTTAACACAGAAATCTATCTCTCAAGATAAACCTAACCTAAAGGTTTAAGTAAATCAGATAAGTGTAGTGGAAGACCGAATAAACTTGATACACTATCTGATGACCGTTCAAAATGCAGTATATACTTCAGCTGGATAGTACCTGGCAATAGATCTGTTATTCCTTCCGAGGTTAATTTTGTTCAGAGAAAGATTCTGTTTTCCTCCTGGGGCCTACATCCTTTTGTTCCTATGCATTCTTTTTTTTTTTTTTTTTTTTTTGTAAGCTCCTCTACACCTGTGATGCTTGCTTGGCGCCTGCTCCCCCGGTGGGGAAGCAAAGTAAGTAGTCGTTATTTACAAATGAATTCAAACGTGTGGGCACCAGTGACCTTGCCAATTTTATGTTAATTACAGTATGCATTTACTAAGGATATCTTTGAAAAGTGATTTTCCTCTGGGAAAGAATTTGCCGAATCTGAGATCCTGCAGAGAAATAACATAAATCTTCTTTACAACATTTACTCTGCTTCTTTCAGACTGGGAATCTGGAATCTAAATAAAATAAGTTTTCACAACTAGCTACTCACATTTATAAGTACTTTTGTGAGTGCTAAAGTTTTCGACCGAAAGTGTAGGAAATGAAGTACCCTGCTATAAATGTTTTATAGCTCTTACTTTGAGATACCCACAACTAAAACTCAAAGGGAGTGATGCAGGCAATACCAGACAAGTGGCAATAAAACCTTTATGATCCCTCACACCATTATGTAGTTTGTTTATGCCACATATATCAGAGGAAAGATATTAAGGGAAAATTATAGTGAGTAGTAGTAAATAATATTGCCGTCACCATATGTTCCTTTGCCCATTAAATGAAATTTCCTTAGTTTGCCCTAAAAGCAATGCAAGTATATTCCCAAATGGTTCATGTGTCTGAATAACATTTTAAAAATATTATTTTAATAGAAAAATTATAATTGTGTATATTAATGGATTAAACTTGTACAGATGTGGGCTGGGGATATAGCTCAGGGGCATAAGCACCCCGCTTGGCAAGCACAAGATCTGGAGTTCAATTCCAGATACCAAAAAAGAAAATTGTACAGTTGTGGCTGGGGATGTAGCTCAGTGGTAGAATGCTTGCCTACCATGTGTAAGGCTTTGAGTTCAATCCCCTTCACTGCAAAAAAAAGAAAAAAAGTAGGTTGTGCAGTCTGATCCCCAACATCTCAAAAGAAAAAAAAACCTGTGTAATCTCTGACAGTCCTCATTCTGAAGACTGTTTTCCAGAGAATGTCGTCTGCCCTAGGGAAGATAGATTCCTAATTTTGGAAACTTCATGATCTCTCCAAATCATTTCCAGCCAAGCTACTTCATGTCTGATCTACGAAGTATCAAAAGTTTAGAATGAGCATTGTTCTCATTTTAAATAAAAACATATGTTCCCTTTTTTGCCTGCAAATGAAACAATACATCTTCTAAGACATTTCCTAGACTCTCCCAAGGCAAAATCAATTGCTTCCTTTTCTTTTGCCCTGTGGTGGTTGATTCTGCTTTCTTCTGTAATTAACAGTATTATTTTGCATTTTAATTAGTTGTGTCTTTTCCCCCCATAGATCATGGGTTCCACAGAGGCAGGGGTTGCATTTAGTTCATCTTTGTAGTTCCATCACTGAGTATTGCTGCTCCTTCTATCGCTTGTCATTGTGTATTAGGCCTTGAGTATATGTTTGTTGAATGAATAAATACATTAACTATTTAAAAAATATGTATTCAATCCAGGGATAGTGGGGTCCACCTGTAATCTGGAGGTTAAAACAGGAAGACTGTAACAAACCCAGCCCAGGTTGTTTAAAGATTTAGAAAAACCCTGTCTCAAAATAAAAATAAAAACACATTTATAGCTGAGTATGGTGGCACACTCCTGTAGTCTCAGCACTTGGGAGGCCGAGGTAGGAGGATCCTAGCAAATTCGAGACCAGCCTGGGCTACAAAGTGAACTCAAGGCCAGTTTGAACTGCATTGTGAAACCTTGTCTCAAAAAGACAAAAAAACAAAAAAAAAGTACATTTATAAAGACTGGGGATGTAGCTTAGTGGAATCCCTCTGGGTTCAAACTCCAGTACCATATAGTTCAGATAGGACAACAGGTGTGCATCACCATACCTGGCTTTTTTGGTTTTTATGAGACAGCATCTCACCACATAGTTTAGGCTTGCTTTGAATTCACTATGTACACAGGATGGCCTCCAACTGCAATTACTGCTTTAGCAAATGCAAGGATTACAGGAGTGTGCCACCATGCCTGGATCAGAGACAAATTCTTTTTGTTGTTGTTGTTGTTAAAACAGAGTCTTGCCAAGTCACTAAATTAACCAAGCTGGGCTCAAATTTGAGGTCCTCTTGCTTCAGCCTCCCAGATTAAAAAAACACTATTTCTATTTTAATCCTATTGTTAGGAAAGCTGTGTCTTCCTTCCTCATTCCCATCTCCTATGTCCTTTGGAATTTATTGTCTGTTGTCTGGAGTTAAGTGATGCCCTACAATATGCCTATGAGTTCAGTGGTAAAGTGTTTTTGGCTATACAGGGTCCTGTGTTTGATATACACTTTCCTTACACTAAGAATATTGTATGTATGTATGTGCATGTGTGTAACATGTATATTTAACATATATAATATATAACATATAATATTTAACATATAGTGTGTATTTTTCCCATGAACAATCTCCCATATTTCCCACCGTTCTCTCATTCCTTTAGAAATTGAGAATTTCAACTAGTAGGAAGCTTAGACATAGAACAAGTTATTCTTACTTTAATTTTGTAGATAAGAAAACTGAGGCCCACTGTCTCATGACTTGCTTTAAGATAATGAAAGGAATCTGAAAAACAAATTAAAAAGTAATACAAAAGAATGGAAAGGAATCTGTGGGGGGGAGAGCAATGCAGCTCCAACTCCTCTGATGTTGGGGGCCACAAATTTCAGTGACTGGTTTTACACAATTCCTTATGGGATAAAAGGAAGACTTGGGATTATCGGTACTATCCATCTGAGATTTCCCATTGATTCTTCGTACCATAAGATCATCTACATTTTTGTGAGTCATCTCAGGATTATACTCAAAATCAAGATATTTCTCCTAAATTAACATAATCTGCTACTTGGAAAATTTTTTGAACCATTCCCAAGATTCTACTGAGTTTCCTGCAAATTTGCCACTCTAATCCCTTCCTTGACTGAAAAATAAATATGGGCTGCCCAGAGACATTTCTTGTTTTAGCTCCCAGAGTCTCGAACTCTGCAGAGGCTTTTGATCCTCCTGGAGCCTTAAAATCATACCACTTGTCTCATTTATTTAAGCCTTCACTGTATACTTGTTTGGGGGATTGGGGATCTAGGCCAGGTCCCCAATACTCTGAGGTGGCCATGTTCATTAGATAAACTTGATGGGAAATGCAGAATCTGGGGTTGCTAGACTAGAAATGTAGTTAACAAGTTCATACATTTGTGTGCTACAAATAGACCAACCATTACATAGTAAGATCAAGGAGGTCCTGTGTGAGTATATTGAGTGTATGTTTGAGAGAAGTAGGTTGGTTTCCTGATGGAGAGAGAGGCTTAGTTTCGTTTCCTTTCTCTTTTTGCATTGAAAGGAATGTATGTGAGTCCTGACTCTGCTAGGGCAGCTCTGATTTCATTTCCATAGGCCATCTTCAGAAATTACATTAAAGCATCAGAAATGAGGTAAATCCTATTATTATTTTCTCTGTCTCTGAGGCTTGACCGTGTCAATTATCTTTGACACTTTTCTCTGATATCTGCCATACTCCTAGGAGGATGGCAATGGAATAAGAAACACTGTAGTTAAGTCTGCTTCTTTGGAAGCCACAGCCTTACTGGTAAGGAGAAAGCTGTCCCTCAAAAACAATGGAGAGTCAAAATGCTGCCAGTGAGCTGGGCTTCGCAAGGTATTCTAGTTAGTGATTTTGTGTAGAAGAGGAAGCAAGGTTGAAGGACTAAATCTCTAACCAGGAAGGTTGGAGAAGAGCAGCATTTAAATTTGAGCTGCAAAGATAGAGGTATGACATTCTCCTGACATTTTTCACTGAATGTATTTTGTATCTCCTTGAACCAATTATAGGAAATCTAAACCTTATTCTATAAATCATAGTGATTCTCATCAGAATAACAAGTTTGTATTGAACATATATATGCTAGGTCCTGTGATATGTGGCTTATATGGGCTACTTTTTTTTTTTTTTTCTTTCTTTTGGTCTTCTGAGACTGAGTCTCGCTATGTGGTTCAGGCTGGTCTTGAACTCACTATATGGTTAGGCTGGCCTCAAACTGGTTGTGATCTTCCTGCCTCAGGCTCCTGAGTGCTGGGACTACAGGTATGTGACATCTCGCCCAATTGATTGTTGCTACATTTAGTCCTTATTACACACTTAAAATGTAGGTATTGATTATTAATCTCATTTTACAGAAAACTGACGCTTAATGAATTTAAGTAACTTTCCTGACATCCTGCAAGTTAGTATGACAGTGATGTACAAGCAGAGCTTCAAACTATCTGTTTGACTCCAGAGTTCAAAAGTGTGATTAAGGAGCTGCTTTCAGGTTTCTGTATCGAGGAGTAATTATATTTTCTTTTGTAATTAATAAGTATTTTGTGGATACTCTTGATAGGAGAAATATAACTTCCAACTTGCTAGATGTCAGGTGTGCCAATTTCATGTCCTATGAAATCAAAGAATAAATTCCAAAGGATAGAGGAGGCTAAAAGTAGAAAAGGTTTATTGAAAGATAGTTCTTGAAACATGAAGGGTCCCAGAAGTGGGTTACCACCGAGGCCTTTTGTCGAGGGTAATTTATACAGAAAAGTCACTTTGTGGGTACAGTGTGGTTCATACAACAATCAATCTATAGGATTACAAGTATAGTTACTTAACTAATATTGATTCAGTAGGGAAGTCGGTCATGTAGCAAGGGTATAGGGAAAAAACAAAGCATTTGGGGGAGGTATGGGTCTAGATGTTCTGGTCACCCACCTGGGCAACTGATGCCTAGCTGGACTTTCTGGACCAGGTGGTGCTAATTATAGTATAATTCCAAATTACTGCTTATCCCTTAGGGAGGCACATAGATCTGGTCATTGCATCTTTATCTTGAGCATTGTCTTCTTCAGATGTGCCTCCAACCACAATTCCAATGTCTATCTTTTTCTACCGACTTTTTTGAGAGGCCAGTCCCTCTTGAACTGTAGATTAATTTCTGTCTAACTTAGCTGCCTGTAATGCTTTCAAGTTCTATCACAGCATGTGGTGGTATACAGCTGTAATCTAAGCTACTCAAGAGGCTGAAGCAGGAGGATTGAGGCCAGCCAGGGTAATTTAGTGAGACCCTGTCTCAAAATAAAAAGGGCTGGGATGTAACTTAGTACTAGAGTGCCTAGCATGAGGTAGCTCCTGGATTCAATCCTCAATATCAGAGGAAAAAAGGCTGCATACATTCCTGAGGTGTTATCCTTTCCCTTCTGGTTTAGCATCTGTGTTGGTTCCCTGTGGCTATCCCACAGGAACAAATGAGCATAAACTAGACAGTTTCAAACCACCCAAGTTTGCTGTCTCATGATTCCGGAGCCTAGAGGTCTGAAATCAAGAAGAGACCTAGTTAGCAGCTCCATATCCTCTCTGAAAGCTTTAAGGGAGACTCTTTCCTGCCTTTTCCAGATTTTTGTGGCATTCCTTGGCTTGTACCTACATCATCTAATGTGCCTGTTTTTTTATGTGTCTTCTCATCTGTGTTGTGGTTTGTTTTTTGAGACAGGGTCTCACTAAGTAATAAGGTTACCCATGTTGGGCTCAAACTGGGCAATCTTCCTATCTCAGTTTCCCACAGCGCCAGGAATACAGACATACACCACAGTGATCAGCTTTTCTCTTCCATCTTTGATAAGGAGAACTTGCCATTAGATTTAGGGCCCAGCTTTAACTACATTAGCAAGGACCCTTTTTTCTTTCTTTCTTTCTTTTTTTTTTTTTTAATCTTTTTACTTTTTATTGGTACCGGGGATTGAACTCACGACTGCCTGCTTGCAAGGCAGGCGCTTATGCCGCTGAGCTAAACCTCCAGCCAAGGACCCTTTTTTCTAAGCAACACAATGACTTCATGTTCTTAGAATGAGAACTTGGACACAACATTTTGGGGGTCATCAGTCAACTCACTAAAATATTCTTTGATAATGTTTTCCTGGAATAATTATTGTAGTGACCCAAGAGATCTTTTTGTGACACCATCACTTCCTTTACAGTTACTACTTATCATTCTTCAAAAATAAAGAACTACTTTCTCCCCATTTATGATTTATTATTTGTATCAGTATGAACAGTGGACTCTTACTTCAAATGTGCTTGAATTTTTTTTTTCCCTTTGGTACCGAGGATCAAATTCGCAACCTTGCACTTGCCAGGCAGGCGCTTGCACCACTGATCTATATCCTTGACCACCATGGACTTTTATTTTAGCCAATGGATTTGTGTGGTAAAGAATTAACTCAACAGGTTTGAGCTGATCAAAATGCAATGAAGTTTGATCCTTTCCTAGCTGTAGAGCAATAGCTTCTAAATAGTTGGGATATTCATCTTTGTTTCAACATCTTTGTTTGAAACTTTGGGCCTTACCACAGAGTTTATGCTAACAATGTGACTTATGATGGGTGCTTTGGGCTACATGATGTCAATTTAATCTCTAGAAGGACCCAACAATTAAGGTCAGCTACAGGGGCAGTCAGCTTTACTATGTGACTGATCCTCAGCAAACACCCTGGACACCAAGGCTTAGATAAGCTTCTGGTTGGCAGCCCTTAATGTGTACACAGCATTAATGTCTACCCAGCCCCACTGAAAGAGGACAAGAGGTTGTACCTGGTTTCTCTTATACTCTATACTATGTGCCTTTATTCATTGCTGATTTTATTATCTTTTATTTTCTTCATTGCTGATTTTAATTTGTTTTTTTTCACTATAATGAGCTAAGTAATGAGTTAAAGAGGAAAAGTTTATTGGGGCTAGAGGTTTAGCTCAGCGCCATAAGTGCCTGCCTTGCAAGCAGGCAGTCATGAGTTCGATGAAAAGGATAAAGACAAAAAAAAAGAAAAAGAAAAAAGAAAAGAAAAGTTTATTTAGCTCACAGTTTGTAGAGGTTTCAGTCCATAATTGGCTGGCTCCAAGGCAGTGTGGCATGGCAGAGGAGAAACAGTCCATGGTAAAGTGGGAAATTCAGAAAGCAGACAGCAGCATGGTGACAGGTATCAAATAACAAGCAAGGCAGCAAGAAACAAGGCAGCAAGAAATATGTCCCTCATATCTTTTCCCAAGTATTAGTACCCCAGATAAGATATGAAGGACAGAAAGTTGTTACTTGATGTGTGCTGTTCGCTGCCTTCTGCCTACCATGAACTGTTTTTCCTCTGTGATGCCCTCCTGCCATGCCACCATGCTTGGAGCTAGCCAATTATGGACCAAAATCTCTACAAACTATGAGCTAAATAAACCTTTCCTCCTTTAACTTTGAGTATCTCTGCAATAAGAAAAGTAACCAAGCCAGGGATGTAGCTCAGTGGCACAATTCCTGCCTGTTAAGTGCAAGGTCTTAAGTTTGATCCCTGGTACAGAAAAGAAAAGAAGAAGAGGAGGAGGAGGAGGAAGAGGAAGAGGAAAAAAAGTGACTGGAAATGGAAGTGGGGGAAGGCATCCCGTGAGACTGAGCCCTTCTGAGATTTGATGCTACCTACAGGGGAATGGTATCAGAATTGAGTTAGAGGACACCCACCTGGTGTCAGCTGCTGTTGCTGCTACACTGCTAGCATGGTAGGTGGAGAAAAACACCCACACATCTGGTGCCTGAAGAGTGTTGTGAGAGTGGAGTGGGAGTTTGTTTTTTCTACTATCAGATTCAGTTTTGTCATATGGGATTTCTCAGTTCCTTAAGCTCCAGAAAGTTCAGTTTAAACATCCTGTGGAAGCCCAAAGCCCTCTGCCAAATATCTACAAACACTGAGGAAGTTTGTAGTCTCTTGCTAAACTTGTCTTCAACTTTCTGCTT